TTTGCGCCTTTTCCTGGAACTCACTTGGTAGCCCAGGCTGGCCTCGAACTCACAGAGATCCGCCTGCCTCTGCCTCCCGAGTGCTGGGATTAAAGGCGTGAGCCACCACCGCCCGGCTCGCTTTTGTCTCTTAAACTTCATTTCACAGAACACTTGATTTTTGACCCTGACCTAGAATCATTGTTGTCGTCTGCACTTAGGCCACTAGACTACCACATCCTGTTCCCTCCCCCCCATCATGTGGGGCTGCTTTGGGGAACTCACTTATTTACACACACACACACACACACACACACACACACACACACACACACACACACCATCTCTGCCATGGTTCCATCAAACGTGAAATCCTCAATCCCAGTTCATTCCCTTTAAGGACTGTAGACTCATGTCTGTGCTGGTTTGGATCCCTCTTCCCACCCCAGTTGTCTTTTTTCCCTTGCTTCTACCAGCCTCCGGGGTAACTCCATTGGACCACAGGGGGCTAAGGCCCTGGCAGATGCTCTGAAGATAAACCGAACGCTAACCTCTCTAAGGTATGTGGCTCCACTCCTGGCCTCAGGGGAGGGCCCACAAAACAAAGCCCTGGCTACAGGAGATACTGTGGAGGCTTTGGGGTGCCAGCAAGCTTCAGATTCCAGGTGGCCCCAACTCTGTGTGCCTCTGTAAGACCCCAGAGTTTCTGAGGACAATGGAAAGCCTGCCTTCCAGAAGATGACAGTGCTTGGGGATGGCTTGTGTCTCTCTGAGGAGCCTGGGCTGTGTTCATCTAGTTGAGGGTGTACTACTGCTCTAGTCTGTTTTGTTTTTCCAGTTCTATTATTCAAATGAAAATTTTGTCGTTATTGTTTTGAAACAGGGTCTGGCTGTGTAGCCTTAGCTGGCCTGGAGCTCACTCTGTAGGTCAGGCTGACCTTGAACTCACAGAGATCCACCTGCCTCTACCTCCCAAGTGCTGGGATTAAAGGTGTGCACTACCATAACCAGAACTAGGTGAAATTTAATAACATAAAATTTATCATTTTGAAGTATATAGTTCTTTGGCATTTGTGTTATTTTTGTTTTTTTGAGAAACTCTTTCTCTGTGTATCCCTGTCTGTTCTGGAACTTGCTCTGTAGACCAGGCTGGCCTTGAACTCAGAGATCCGCCTGCCTCTGTCTCCCCAGTGCTGGAATTAAAGGTGTGTGCCACCTCATCTGGCAGTCCTTGGCATTTTGTACATTCAAAATGTGCAACCACCACCTCTGTCTAGTTTCAAAATATTTTTGACTGTTAGTATTTGCTTTTTCCTTTTGGGGGGACATTATGTATAAATGGAATTATACAGTAAGAACTTTGTGTCTGTCTTCCTCAGCTAGCATGTTTTCAAGGTTCAGCCACAGTGTAGCTTACTGTTTTCTTGCATTGCCTGGCTGAATAGTTTTCCTCTGGATGGGTGGAGCACAGTCTGCTTATACATTCATGCATTCAGAGGGCTTCTGTCTTTTAGCTGTTATGAATAATTCGGCTAGCAACTCTGTGTAGGAGTATTCAAGTACCCATCTTTAATTCTTTGGGAAATATACCTAGAAATGGAATTGCTAGGTCCCATGCCACATCTAAGTTGAGAACTGCCAGACTGTCTTCCACAGAGGCAGGACCATTTACATTGTCATCAAAAGTGTAAGGCTTCCGGTTTCTCCACATCTCCACTCTTCCTTGTACTGTGGCTCTTGATTGTGATGGGGACTAACGATGACCTCATTTTAATTGATGTAGACAGCATGGACACTTTGTTCCTAGTTGGCAGGCAGCTACTTAGAGACTCAATACAGGAGGGCTAACAGAGGAGGGCCCTGAGGAGGGCACATAATCATTGGTAAATCTTTCTCGGAAGTCAGTTGCTTCCTGTCTTGGGCCTCTGAGGCAGGTGTCCCCATTGCAGTGTGAGTCCAGGCCACCGGTGACACACCTTTTCTTACCTTTGTAGCCTCCAGAACAATGTGATCAAGGATGGTGGTGTCGTGTGCATGGCTGAGGCCCTGGTCTCCAACCAGACCATCTCCATACTACAGTGAGTGGCAAATTCTGATCCCTTCTCTCTCCTGCTGAGCCTCTGCCTTGTCCCTGAGAGAGAACAGGAGCCTCTCTAAGTCCTAAGGCTTTCTGACCCACCTGTACGGTCCCTGGAAAACACTGTCTGTTTTTCAAGAGAAAATTCTTCCTAGAATTGCTGAAAATAGAGCCCCTGCCAACCCAGGAAATCATGGCCACAGATACAGGAGAAGAACACAGCATTCTTCTATTAAATAAGCACTAATCTGACTATAAGGCAGAATCACGGGCAACCTGCCAATGAGGTTGTAAGGACAGAGGTCCTACCCTTCCCTACAGCCCCGCAGAGGAACCATTCCATGCATGTTCCCAAGGCCAATGACAACTTGTCTTCAAGTCTGAGGAGCTGGCAGCCCCACTTTTCAGCAGCTTATCCTAAGCTCGAAGGTAGAGAGGTCTCATGTGCTCCTTAACTGCTCTTGCCCCAGACAAAACTGCTCCTACCTTTTTGACGATCTGGTACTTCACAACTTGGAGCCAGGTGCCCAGGCTAATTCCCACAGTGGCAGGGAGACAGGGGTACTACCTTGTTTGATGTTTATCTTGGAAAAGAAGGCCTCAAAGAAAGACCCCAGGAAGCCTGGTGTGCTGGAGCACATCTTTAATCCCAGCACTCGGGAGGCAGAGGTAGGAGGATCTCTGTGAGTTCGGGGCCAGCCTGGTCTACATAGTAAGTTCAAGGCCAGCCTGAGCTGAGCTGTCCAGCCTCTGCTCCCAGCTGCACTTTCTCCTTAACTCTCTCAACCAGATCCTTTGTGAGACCCCTTTGTACTGCCGTGAGACTGGAAATGGTGCCCTATCTGTCCCTGACCTCTCACCCAAAACCCAGCCTGGCTTTGGGCTAGGAATGCCTGTGGCTGGCTTTGCTGATGGACCCTTCTCATCTCTCACAGGCTGCAGAAGAACCTAATTGGGCCGGTGGGAGCCCAGCAGATGGCAGATGCCCTGAAGCAGAACAGGAGTCTGAAGGAACTCATGTGAGAAAGGGCAAAGGGCCAAACAAGGCTGGTGCACCCTACATAGTTGTGAACACATGGATGATGGGATGGATGGAAGGATGAAGGGATGAGGAGATGATGTGAGGATGGTTGGATGAGTAGGAGGGTGAGTGGATGGCTGAATGGATGGACAGATGGATGGATGGACAGATGGATGGATGGAGGAGTAGATGGAAGGAGGAGTAGATGGATGGAGGAGGAGATGAATGGAGGAGTAGATGGATGGAGGAGTAGATGGATGGAGGAGTAGATGGA